CTTAATTGCTTCCTGAATGGTGGCTATTATGTGTTACAGAAAGCTGAAAACCAAAACACATTTGAGGAGCCAGTTAGGCAAGGGTCTGTTTCAGCACACTGGCAGTGAGGAGCAGTACACAGATGGGGAAGTCAGGAGGAGTTAGTTTACCTAGCTGGCCTGCAGATGTTTTTGGGGGTGTTTATTGAGCTGACCCACAGCAGAAGGATCAGATGGGGGACTGTGAGCAATTATAAGTGCTTGTTGATGGGAATGAAGGGATAGCAGTGATGGGGAGCTCTGAGGGTCGTCATTAGATGCTGGCATCTACCAACAGGAGGTAAACTGTTGGGCCTTTTCTGTGCCCAGGGGGCATCTCGGTGGCAGGGAGCCAGTTCACCCTTCAAGTTCCAGCTCCCTTCTCCAGAGAACTCATTTTCCCATCAGCTATACACGTACATCTCCTGGGTGAGGCATGAGAGGCATCTCACAGGAGGAGGAGTTTGGAGGGAAAGGAAACACGTGGGTAGGAAAGGGAAGTCAGGAGATCTGTGGGGCACCTGGACTGAGGCAGGTATGGTTCTGCCTAACTTTTTAGTTCTTTAATTCCAGTGGGCTGTTACTTTTCCTTGAGTTGTGGGTTCTTTGAAAGAAACTAACTGCCACTAGATGGCACACAGATCCTAGCAGTATTCTGGTGTTTAAGTTACTGTTTTATACTTTGGGAGGCTGAGGTGGGCAGATCATGAGGTCAGGAGTTCACGACCAGCCTGACCAATATGGTGACACCCTGTCTCTACTAAAAATACAAAAATTAGTCGGGTGTGATGGCGCATGCCCATAGTCCCAGCTACTCGGGAGGCGGAGGCAGAGGAATGACTTGAACCCGGGAGGCGGAGGTGCAGTGAGCCAAGATCGTGCCACTGCACTCTAGCCTGTGCGGCAGAGCGAGACTCCGTCTCAAAAAAATAAATAAATAAATAAATAAATATATATATATGTATATATGTTACTCAAAAAATTGTTTTGAAAAGACAGACCACTAGTGTGTTTTTTTAAAATAAAATATGATGTATAACCTATTTAGCACTTCATTTTAGAAAGGATGAAAAATTAAAATTCAAAATCAATTTTGTGAGCTCAGTTTGTGCTTAGTGTCCAGTTTTTGAAGTATGTAATGGTTAATGGTCTTTGTTTATATGTGGGTGAGGTTTGACTCACACACATGCTTCATTTATCAAGAGTTGTAAAATGTAGCTTTATAGTAAATATTTTAAAGACCGGAGTAATCTATCCCAAAGCAATAATGTCTTTTTTTTCTTCTGTTTCATTCTTACTTGAAATTTTATCTCTCAGAAATTTGGGAATTGCATTTCTTGCAGAATATTATTTTGCTTTTCAACAAACGCGTCTGGTCATTGCTTTGCATTTGTGTTGTAAGTGTGTGAGAGTGTGTGTGTGTGTGTGAGAGAGAGAGAGATATGAACATGGGTGCCATTAAAAGAATGGGATGGGCTGGTCATTGACTGGAAAGAACAGAGAAAGCCCAGAGAAGGAATGTGACAGAACATCAGACTTAATCCAGGTCCCTCCCCTCCCCATAACCAAAAAGAAAATATTAGACCAGGCTTTGTGAGGCAGTGGTAATCCCCTCCCCTCCCCCACTACCCCCAAGCGTAGCTTGTTTGGACAGTCAGCAGCATAGAGGCAGGCAGCCACAAAAAGGTGCCACAGAGCACAATTCATGCCTACTCATTGTTTGGGAGCATTAGTCATTGATAATAGTTTCATAGCTTTGTTTATGGACTGTGACACTAAAGCCTTTAGCTTTAGCCACATTGGAGACCACTATTGAAAATGTATTTATACTAAAGGTTTGTTGACTTGACATAATCATTTGCTATGAAAGGTACAAACAAGGCCCATTAAAATCTGCCATTGTTTTATGTCTGGGTCCCCTGTGATGGCCAAAAGCAGGTAGGTGGTGACAAGCTGCCGCACCCTTCTGAATGGACCATGTGGGTTCCTAGCTTCATGTGCTCTGGTTTATTGATGTCATTACATTATTAGGCAAATGACCAATGCCATTCCCCATTCCACCCCAGTTATCAGTATATGTATTTGGAGAGTCTTCGTGTTGTGTCCTCAGAGCTGCCTGAGAGGCTATGCTGGAGGAGTCTTATTTTTATTTTTATTTTTATTTTTTGAGGCGGAGTCTCTGTTACCCAGGCTAAAGTGCAGTGGTGCGATCTCAGCTCGCTGCAACCTCTGCCTCCCTGGTTCAAGCGATTCTCCTACCTTAGCCTCCCAAGTAGCTGGGATTATAGGTGCCTGCCACCACGGCTGGCTCATTTTTGTAGTTTTAGTAGAGACAGGGTTTCACCATGTTGGCCAGGATGGTCTCGAACTCTTGACCTCAAGTGATCCACCCACCTTGGACTCCCAAAGTGCTGAGATTACAGGCGTGAGCCACCAAGCTTGGCCATGGAGTCTTTAAGAGGGAACTATTTCCTGGGCTCCTGGTCATTGTCCCTGTCCATCCCAGTGCACTGCCCAGGTTTTGGGGCGTGACAGCACGTGTTGGGGAGTCTTAGGCCAATATGTAAGGAATTTGGGAAATCTATAATTAGTAATGTTTTATTTAAATGTACATCCCCAGTATTATCCTGCCTCCCAACCCACCTCCCCCACCTTCTTAAAAAGACTGAACAGAATACACTAAAGTGCCACATAATGATGTTTTGGTCAAGAACAGACCCAAATATACAACAGTGATCCCATAAGATTACAATACCATATTTTTGTTGTACCTTTTCTATAATTAGATATACAAATACTTACCATTATGTTACAATTGCCTGTAGTATTCAGTACAGTAACGTGCTGTACAGGTTGGTAGCCTGGGAGCAACAAGTTATACCATATGTAGCTTGGTGTAGTAGGCTATACCATCTAGGTTTGTGTAAGTATATTCTATGATGTTCATACAACGATGAAATCACCTAGTAGGAGGCTTTCTCAGAATGTATCCCTGTTATTAAGTGATGCATGACTGTGTACTAAAACATTACAGTTGTTAAATTACAATGATCAAAAACTAACTGTAACAGTAAGTTTCCAATGCAAGAAAATGATGGTGTTTTAATTTAGCTTGTCATTTTAAAAACTTTTGCCAAATTCTACTTTGTATTACGTTTTCCCAAAGTTTCTTTAAAAAGCAAAAACAGCTGGGCACGGTGGCTCACACCTGTAATCCTAGCATTTTGGGAAGCCAAGGCGGGTGGACCACGAGTTCAAGAGATTGAGATCATCCTGGCCAAAATGGTGAAATCCCGTCTCTACTAAGAATACAAAAATTAGCTGGGCATGGTGGCATGCGCCTGTAGTCCCAGCTACTTGGGAGGCTGAGGCCAGAGAATCGCTTGATCCCAGGAGGCAGAAGTTGCAGTGAGCAGAGATGGCACCACTGCACTACAGCCTGGCAACAGAGCGAGACTCTGTCTCAAAAAAAAAAAAAGCCAAAACACAAGGCTGGGTGCAGTGGCTTACGCCAGTAATCCAAGCACTTTGGGAGCCAGATCACTTGCGGTCGAGCCAAGATGTTGACCTCATCATGGCCAACATGGTGAAACCCTGTCTGTACTAAAAATACAAAAACTAGCCGGGTGTGGTGGTGCACGCTTGTAATCCCAGCTACTTGAGAGACTGAGCAGGAGGATCGCTTGAACTTTGGAGGCAATTTACAGTGAGCCGAGATTGTGCCGCTGCACTCCAGCCTGGGTGACAGAGCGATTTAGACATGTATAAATGCACCAGTAGTGGCATGCTTGTACCTTGCATTGGAGTGTAGGTGGATCTGATTTGTAAGGTAACTTGAGTTCTTCATATTACAACTAAGACTTTGATCTCTACATGTCAATTGATGGGTCATCTTCCTTGTTCCTACTCAGCCCCCAACCAGCCCAAGCTATGGAAAAGAAACTGCCCCCTTGTATGAAGAGCAAGGTGTTGGCAGGGAAGTGCAGTCTATATATCTGTCTGTCTGCAACTGTGGCTGTCAGAATAGTGTCTCAGCCCTTTTCCTATTGGATCTCGGCTGAAGCAAATAAGGACAATGAACAGCAGCAAAGAGATCATCCTGGGCATCTCTTTCGTTAATAGAAGTCACCAACAGATCTAAATCTAATCGATTCTAATAACAGAGCTACATATATTGAGCCTTGGGTCAATAACTTGATTACATTATCTTATTTTTTTACAAACAAGTAAGCTGAGGTTTAGGGAGTTTGGGTGACCTGGCTAAAGTCCTGCTACTAGTAGTAAATGGAGACACTAGGATTTGAAACTGCCAAATTTCAAAGCCTATCCTTTTGGCCATTGTGTTACTGTGTAGTTGCGTTTTGCAGGCATTTAACCTGTTTATATTAAACTAGACTTGTAGGCTGTCTTTTCACCCTACCTATATTAAACGAGCAGTGGACCAGACCTGAAACAGACAGAGCACATGGCAAAACCCTGGAAGAAATGTGTAAAGAAAGGATTTTTAGAATTTCCCAGACATTGGCCAACAAGCGAAAAGCACACAGACAAATGGGCAATGATGATGTCCTCAATGTTAGAAAGAAATTAATATAAACCAACAGAGAAATATAGACTAAGGAACAGTTAGAGGAACTGTGACTAGCTCCATCACCAAGGCTGTATCTGCAATATAAGCCATTTAGGAATTTTGAAGGACAGTCTTGATTTTCCACTTTTTACATGTTTACGGGATATAGAACCCCACACTATTGTTTCATGGGAACTTTACTTTCTAACAGTCATCATGTGCTCCCAGAATGGAAGAAACTAAGAAACATCTGTAAAAGTCAACTATTTTGATGTTTTCAAGTTGGGAGAGTTTTGTGAGGTGGAGGTAGGTAGCGTACTAGATGCCATTATGGTTATTGTTTGTCTCTCAGTATACTTTTGATTTTTTGAAAGTTAGTTTTAAGTTGTGTTAATTTTTCCCCCATTTGTAGGGCTTCCTGAAGAATGAGAAGGACAATGCCCTGCTGTCTGCCATTGAAGAGTCCCGGAAGAGGGTAAGAAAATTAACCAAAATGTAGATGTATACAGATGAGGGCAAGAGGGTTGGGCGTGGTGGCTCACACCTGTAATCCTAACACTTTGGGAGGCGGATATAGGAGGTTCGCTTGAGCCCAGGAATTCAAGATCAGCCTAGGCAACATAGCGAGACCCCATCTTTACAAAAAATGCAAAAAATTAGCTAAGAATGGTGGCACGCGTCTGTGGTTGCAGCTACTCTGGTGGCTGTGGGAGGGTTGCTTGAACCTGGGAGGTAGAGGCTGCAGTGAGCCGAGTCACACCACTGCACTCTGTCCTGGGGGACAGAATGAGGAGTGAGATCCTGTCTCAAAAAAAAAAAAAAAAAAAAAAAACCGGATGGGGGCAGCAGTATATACTAGGGGAGTGTAGTGTAGGATCTGGAAGCTGGAATCTCTCACATGCCCAGTTCTCTCCTACAGAGAGAGTTCTACAGGAACCATTTTTTGAGAAGAATACCATGCTTTATAACTCTGTATGTATTTAGTGACTGCAATGCATCTGAGACACTGGACTGGACAATTAACCATTAAATTAATCTTAAAATGGAAAGACCAGAAAATTATTGGTTTCATTGTTATTGTATAAATGGTATTGTGGTTTCTACTGAATCAGCAGTTCAGAAAAGCAGCTGTGATCGCTGACAGTTTCCTTCAACTTATTTTCCTTTTATTACGCAGTATTGAGTGGACCACCTTTTATATTAACAATTTCTCCAAGTTCAAACACACACACACACACACACACACACACACACACACACACACAAAACTAGCTCCATGCTTGAAAAGATGGTAAATAAGTTCACCTAAGAGCAGCCATTATATGTGCAACAATATTCTGCAACAAGCAGTCGTGCAAGATACTCAAAGATTGTTTATTTACATGTGAGTTATCTCTGTTTATTTCTGACAAGGATCCAAATATCAAAATCTTTCTATAACATCCCATTATAGTGAAAGAGATGTTTGGGCCCTTGGGGCCTTATGGTGAGAGAGAAGAAAGGCTAGTTGTCCTGTGGAATTGGTTATAGAAGTGCAGCTTTCCCCAGGAAGGAGGCTGGCAGGGTACATCCCATCAGCTAGCAGTAGCCCTTTCTGCAAAGGGAGTAGGCTTGAAGTGAGACCTCTGTTTTGCTGTTTACTTATTTAGTTCTTATATCCAATGAAATTTATTCATTAGTCGTGTAGTTCAAAAATAATAAAGTGAAAAAAGTGCTGCTTCTCAGTGTGCTTTATTAAAATATTCTGTGAAGGTGAACATGTCTCAGTAGTACTGAGGTGAAATAGGGCTCATTATTTAAATGACTGATATGTTTCATTATCAAAATAAAATTCCCATCATGTGCAGTGGCTCATGCCTGTAATCCCAGCAATTTGGGAGGACAAGGCAGGTGGATCACTTGAGGTCAGGAGTTCGAGACCAGCCCAGCCAACATGGCAAAACCCTGTCTCTACTAAAAATACAAAAATTAGCCAGGTGTGGTGGTGCACACCTGTAGTCCCAGCTACTCAAGGGGCTGAGGCAGGAGAATCGCTTGAACCTGGGAGGCAGAGGTTGCAGTGAGCTGAGATCGTGCCACTGCATTCCAGCCAGGGCGACAGAGCGAGACTCTGTCTCAAAAAAATAAATAAAATTCCCAAAATTTCATTAATTATATTGTTGGTGATAGTACTTAGTCACAGATAGAGAGAAATTCACTTGATTCAGATCTGAAAATATTTTTAAAAGGATTTTCTTTTGGTTCACACATTAAGTGAGTTACCAGCATTGATTCTCCTGCTGTAAAGGACCAATGAAATTAAATTAGGATTGTTGAATGCTACCAAGCTTTATTAGTCCATTTACCCCGTAGAACGTGTTTCTGGAATTGGCAGTCTCTGAACATTGTGCCATACTGAGACTGAATTTGCAGCCAGCCAAAACATTTAGGTGACATACCACAGTGCAAAATGTGTGCATATGTGTTTGTGAGGGAGGCATTCCAGTGTTGGGAGCCAGCCTAGGGGGAGACCTTTGACCTGTCTGGACACCAGGAAACTGCCACTGAGCAAGAACCATTTTCACACAAAAAGTGAGCAACTTTCTGGTATTTTTGTGACTGTTTTATGTTTGAATAACTTGCCAGTGTCCTGCTGAAATGCCAAGAAAACAAGCTACAAAACCACAAGTGTGTCCTGTCTTTCCCCATTTGGCACATCCCAGCAAAAACGGAACAACATTATCAAAACATATGCAGTGTTTCTAAAAGCCAGCAACAGTGCAGTAATAAACGGGTGTGAAGTCAAAGCATATTGCCCTCTTCCCTTTATGAAAATGGGGTTCAAATGCTCCCCCCCTGCTCTTAATTCAGCTGCCCAATTCTTTCCATGCTTTTTTTCTTGTGTTCAAAGAGAAATATTTTCCACACATAGTAACTTGAAAGATTCAGATTTAATTTGTAATAGTTTCTCCACTGTTTTGTCATTTTTTGTGGTTTGTTTTTGCCTTCCTTTTAATTTTTAGATTTCTCCGTACTCTTCGTTTATCCTTTTTCTTTTCCCTTGGGTTTCTTCTTAACACTGCTTCCCACCTCACCTTAGACTCTCACTGCCTTCCTCTTCTCTTAGTTGTTAGTTGAGCAGTTCTGTTGATTCTGTCTCCTTAGTTCCTCTAGTTAGCATTCTTCTTTACACTTTAGTTCAGTGGTTCAGATGTGGATATAAACAGAATAGGTTGGAATGGGACAGATGGGTGACTAATCATCCCTGATTAACCCACAGATTGAATGTTCCATTACCTCTAATGTAATTAAGATTAGCTGGGAGTGATGCAATTAAGGGAAGAGAATTTTGATATTGGATCATTTATTTATTTTTTGAGACAGGGCCTTGCTCTGTCACCCAGGCTGGAGTGTAATGGTGTGATCTCGGCTCACTGCAACCTCCATCTCCAGGGTTCAAGTGATTCTCCTGCCTCAGCCTCCCGAGTTAGCTGGGATTACAGGTGTCAGCCACCACGCCCAGCTAATTTTTGTATTTTTAGTAGAGATGGAGTTTCACCTCGTTGGCCAGGCTGGTCTCAAACTCCTGACCTCAAGCAATTTGCCTGCCTGGGGCATTTATTTTTATTTGAAACTCCTTATCACACTAATGGTAAATAGAACTACAGCAGTGTTCATTCAGGTTATGAGGGTGTTTCTAAATGAGTAGCCTGGCATACTTTCAGATACATCTGAGGATTTGAACCCAGAAAGCTGATAGTTTTCAAAGCACTTTCAAAGTACTAAGCAGGAGTTCTTGGCACACAGGCAGGCAGCCCAATTAACAGGGAATGGTTAATTCCTACTGTCGTCATTCTGACCCTTACCTGATGCTGAAAGTCTGTCTCCACTGTCCTCTTCAGCAGTTTCTGTGGGTGGTATATTGTCTGTTTTCTTTAATTGCCTTTGCTACTCTGCCACTGTTAGCCAGAGGTCTTGTCCTTAAGAAAAAGACTTACTACACTTTGTGGTGCGCTCACCTCACTTCGTGTTGCAGCTCGGTAGGCTGTATAATGTATCAACCTTCCCCTGCCTCCTTCTACCCTACCTGATCCTCTTGCCACCTGGTCCTCCATTTGACCTTGCTGGGAGAGGCTAGAGGCTGAGGAGGCAGTTGGTTTGACCACTATGTGGGAAAGTTTTAGACAAAATTGTGGCTCACACTTGTCTATTCTTTCTGGACAACTTCTAAGAAAATTATCTCTTCCCCTCCACCCCACCTTTATGTTCCATCATACTTCTCTTGATTTAAAATGCATAACTTTCATGTTTAAGTTTACTGGTGTGAGCAAGAAGCAAAGGTTTTTCTCTGGGTATTTTTCAGCTCAGGCTAACTGACTGGAATGGTCCATTCTGCCTGACTCTCAGTGAGAAGAAAAAAACCAGTTGGAAGACTGTTTTTAAAGTTTGTGATTATCGTTTCTCCTGTGTCTGCAGAATATGTATTAGAAAAAGGTCCAGCAATGCACCAGCCTTCTTCCTAATCATGTGTCTGTGTATGTGTATGTCTGATGTCCTTTTTTCACATTTTAATAAATATTGGTCTAATTCGAAATGTCCCAACTGTAGGAAGAGTATATGTATGTGATTTTTCTAACAGTTCCCCAAAGCTCATGCATATCAATATTATCAGTATAAATTATCTGTGTTGCCAATAATAAAGCAGGCATTGCTAATACTCATTCCCTTATTGTTGCCTAATTAGATGCCAATCTGAATGTAAATGAAATGGCTTTTTGAAAAGGCTTAAGCTGATGGGAAACCTGGTCTGCCAGTTGAAGAATAATAGGCTGAGAATGGTCATAATTCAATATATCTGTGTTGTTTTAATTCTCAGATTTTTTTTTTTTTGTCATCTTCCTTATTCCCTCTCCTGCCCCCTCCCCAGATTTCCTTTCTTTTTTCTTTTCCTTCTGAATGCCTTTATTTTGGCAGCTACTTGCAACTACTAGTAGACAGTGGCTTTTCAGTAACTTTGAGTAGACTGCTAGGCAGTTTAATCCCAGAAGGCTATTTTTCTTTTGCTGGTTTACTTCCTTCTATGAAAATATTAGTGTTTCTTTAAAAAATAAAATAAAATCACTGGGGCCGAGTGCAATGGTTCACGCCTCTCATCCCAGCACTTTGGGAGGCCAAGGTGGTCGGATCACTTGAGGTCAGGAGTTTGAGACCAGCCTGGCCAACATGGTGAAACTCTGTCTCTACTAAAAGTCTTAATACAAAAGTTAGCCAGGTGTGGTGGTGCATGCTTGTAATCCTAGCTACTTGGGAGGCTGAGGTGGGAAGATGGCATGAACTCAGGAGGCGGAGTTTGCAGTGAGCTGAGATCGTTCCACTGCACTCCAGCCTGGGCAACAGAAAAAAATATATAATAATAATAATATAAAACACTGGGAGAAACTTTTTTTTTCTTTTCTTGGATGTTTATTATATCGTAAGATACTATTGATTTTATAATCCATCATTATTTTATATGCTACAAAGAAAAATTACTGCTATGATATACAATCTAATTTCAGAGCTTTTATAAAGATGTTTATATTAGTAAACACATGGAAAGATGCTCAACATCACTAGTCATTAGGGGAACATAAAACCACAGTGAGATACCACTTTACACCCTTTAGGATGGTTACAAGCAAAAACAGAAGAGAAATATATATATATATATATATATATATGGTTTTTATGTTTTTGTTTTCTGTGACAGTCTTGCTCTGTTGCCTAGGCTGGAGTGCAGTGGTACAATCACAGCTCACTGCAACCTCTGCCTCCTGGGTTCAAGTGATTCTCATGTCGCAGCCTCCCAAGTAGCTGGGATTACAGGCATGCACCACCACACCCAGCTGATTTTTGTATTTTTAGTAGTAGTAGGTTTTCACCATGTTGACCAGGGTGGTCTTGAACTCCTGACCTCAAGTGATCTACCTGCCTTGGCCTCCAAAAGTGCAGGGATTACAGGGATGAGCCACCATGTGTGGCCAGAAAAAAACGTTATTAAGTGTTGGTGAGGATGTAGAGAAATTGAAAACCTTGTGTACTGCAGGTAGGAATGTGAAGTGGTACAGCCTCTATGGAAATAGTATGGAGGTTCCTCACAAAATTAAAAATAAAATTACCATGCAGTTCCACTTCTGAGTATATACCCAGAAGAATTGAAAGCAGGGATATTTGTACACCCACGTTTATAGTATTATTCACAAAAGCCAAGAAGTGGAAGCAACTCGGGTGTCCATCAGTGAATGAATGGATAAAGAAAATGGTATATTCATACAATGGAATATTTTTCAGCTTTAAAAAGAAAGGAAATTCTGACTTGCTACAACTCTTAAAGACATTATGCTGATTGTCTCTGGCCCATTTCACTCACAAAAAGACAAATACTGTATGATTCCATTTATGTGAGGTACCTTGAGTAGTCAAATTCACAAAAACAGAAAGTAGAGTGGTGGTTGCCAGGAGCTAAGAGATGGTGGTGATGGTTGCACAACAGTGAGAATGTACTTAATACCACTGAACTAGACACTTTAAAATGGTTTATATGGGCTGGGCACCGTGGCTCACACCTGTAATCCCAGCATTTTGGGAGGCCGAGGTGGGCAGATCACCTGAGGTCAGGAGTTTGAGACCAGCCTGGCCAACATGGTGAAACCCCATCTCTACTAAAAATATATAAATTAGCTAGGCATGGTGGCGGACACCTGTAATCCCAGCTACTCAGTGAAATAGGGTATGTTGCAAACAGTTGTCAGCAAGTTTATTTAATTTTTTCTTTGGAGACAAGGTCTTGCTCTGTTGCCCAGGTTGGAGTGCAGTTTGTTTTGTTTTGGGACAGGGTTTTGCTCTGTCACCCAGGAGGGAGTGCATGTTGCGATCACAGCTCACTGCAGCCTCGACTTCCTGGGCTCAAGTGATCCTCCCACCTCAGCCTCCCAAGTAGCTGGAACTATAGGTGCACCCCACTGTGCCCAGCTAATTTTTTGTAGAGAGGGTTTTGCCATGTTGCCTAGGCTGCTCTCGAACACCTGAGCTCAAGCAACCTGCCTGCCTTGGCTTCCCAAAATGCTGGGATTACAGTTGTAAACCACCACGCTCAGCCAGTAAATTCTTTAAAGATAATTTTTAAAGTAGATTGCTTTTTCTCTACCTGTGGAGAAGTGGTCGGTCTGGAGGGCTTTAGGTTTCTGTTGGATCTTAAAAGAAACCAGGTTTTTTTGTTTTTGTTTTTTTTCCTGAGGGTCATTGTGCTCTGTTCCTTTCTGACAGACCTTCGGCATGGCTGAGGAGTACCATCGAGAGTCAATGTTGGTCGAGTGGGAGCAAGTGAAACAGCGAATTCTGCACACACTGCTGGCGTCAGGAGAAGACGCCCTCGACTTTACTCAAGAAAGCGAGGTAGCTTGAATGCAAAAGATAAACTACTCTTAATAAAAACATGAAGTCAAAGAATGCTTGTCTACTTGACTAGTGTTTTTGGCACAGTGGATCACTGTCTTCCTCTTGAAACACTTTCTTCACTTAGCTTTTAGGATGCCACATTTGCCTGGACTTCTCCAACATGTCTGCCTGCTTCTACTCAGTCTCCTTTGCTGAGCTTTCCTCAAATTCCCTGACCTCTATAGGTTTGAGTGTCCCAGGGCTCAGTCCTTGACCTCTTCAGTTTCTCTCTCAGTCACTGTCCTGTGATTTCATCTGGGCTTGGGGCTTTAAATACCTATCATCTCTATGTCAAAGAGTTTCAGATTTACGCCTGCAGCCTTGAACCTTAGTGCTAATTTATCTAGTTAATTTATCTAGCCAGTGTTAATTTATCTAGTTGTCTTCTTGGCACTGCTTGTATGTCTCGTTGCCATCACAGGTTAAGTATGTCCAGAATTGAGTCATGATAGCAACTCCTTCCCTATCCTCCTTCTCTTCTCACAGAGTTCGCTATCTTTATAAATGGCAGTTCCAGTTTTTCACTTGCTCAAATCAGACACCTCAGCCTCACTTTTGTCCTCTCCATCTTGCCCATTTCACACCTGGTCTCTTTCGCATGTTGACAAATCCAGTTAACCCTGCCTTAAAATATACCCAGAATCCAACCACTTCTCACTGCCTCCATTTTTAACACTCTGGTACAAATCACTGTCATCTCTTGCTTGGATTATTGAATTGGCCTCCTAACTGTTGTTATTGCCCTGTAACAGATTACTCCAGACGTGGTTTGTTGAAAACAAGTGGTTATTTCTGGCTCAGGGTCTCTAGGCGCAATCAGGGTATTGGCCAAGGCTGCACTCATTTCAGGGCTAGATGCAAGAAGCATCTACTCGCAAGGTCATTCATATGGCTGTTGGCAAGCCTTAGGTCCTCTCTGACTCTTGGCTGCAGACATCATTTTCTTTTCAAATGAGCCTCTATATTGTGCTGCTCACAGCATGATAGCTTGCTTCCCCTAGAACAAGAGGGAAGGGGTCTGAGGGAGAGCTAAAGAGCCCCCAAGACAGAAACTATCATCTTTCTGTAACTTAAAAGTAGTATCCCACCTCTGTTGGTCAGAAGTAAGTCACTAAATCTAGCCTACACTCCAGGGGAGAGGATTATGCAAGGGCTTGACTACCAGGAGGTGGGAGTTATTGGGGCCATCTTAGAGGCTGCTGACCACTCTGGTCTTTGTGCTTTTGCTGTTGCACGCTGCTGCAGTCTCAACACAGCACCAAGAACACAACTTAAAGGACAGGTTAGATTGTGTCACTTCTCTGCTTAGAACCCTTCAGTGACTCTCATCTCACACAGAATGAAAACCAAAGTCTTCACTTTGACATGTGGGTCCCTACAGACCTAGTCTTGTTGCCTCTCCAAGCTCATCTTGTGCTGCTTTTCCCATTGCTCTTGCTGTGCCAGCTGAATGGGCTCCTTACAGGTTGCTTCAGCAAACCTGGTAGCCCTGCTTCTGCCTCTGGTCCTCTGCGCTTCCTGTTGCTTCTGCCAGGAATGCTCTTCCCCCAAAGGACTGCATGGCAGTCTCTCTCACTTCCTTCAAATATTTACGCAGTGCCATCTCAGACCTTCCAAGGCCCTGAAATCCAAATCAACCCCTTCTTATTCAACACTTTGCATATCCCCTTCTCTTGCTGTATTCTTTTTGGCATATCCTTCTGTGTGCCATAGTATATGTTTTATGTCTTTATATTGTCTCTTTCTCCCATTAGAATGTAAGCTTATTGAAGATAAGGATCTTTGTTTTGTTTATTCCTTTATCTCCAGTGCCTGGAAGAGTCCCTGGAACACTGTAGATGCTCAGGAAATACTTGTTGAGTGAATCATTTGACTGTAGTTAACTTCATGCTAGCTGAAGTATTGGGGATATATTGAAACAGTGTATAGAATGGTTATGTTAAGTAGCCCTTTTCTTAATTGCCAGTGTTAATTGACTGGCAGTAGTGCTAAGTTGAGATTTTTTTCCCTTTTTAAAATTTAAAAATATAAGCAGTGTGGCCAGGTGTGGTGGTTCACGCCTGTAATCCCAGCATTTTGGGAGGCCAAGGAGGGCGGATCACAAGGTCAGGAAATCGAGGCCATCCTGGCCAACATGGTGAAACCTGGTCTCTACTAAAAATACAACAGTTAGCTGGGCATGGTGGCATGTGCCTGTAATCCCAGGTACTCGGGAGGCTGAGGCAGGAGAATCGCTTGAACCAGGGGAGTCAGAGGTTGCAGTGAGCTGAGATCCCGCCACTGCACTCCAGCCTGACGACAAAGCGAGACTCCATCTCAAAATATAAATATGTATATATATGCAGTGTGGTTGTATGATTCAAATATTAAAGCACCTTGTCCCCAAATACCCTATTCTCTTCTCCCTTTGTCTTCCCCATAGGTAGTCACTATTAGTACTTTCTTGTGTAAATTTGCAAAGTGTCTTTATACAAGTATATGAGACTGTATATGCTTATCCCCATTCCTTCTTAACGCAAACATTAGCTACTGCATGCTCTGTTTTGCATTTTTTCTTTCTTCCCTTCATGTATCCCAGAGATCTTTCCTGAGAGGGATTTTGAGGCTACATCCAGGAGCAGCAAAAAAGAGTGTCTCCCTTTATCTGTGATTTTTGCCTTGTGCCAGAGGGAGCCAGGGCTTGCCACACATTTACCACCCAGGTGTTGAGGAAGGACAGCCCTGGGCTTTTTCCTAGCTTTTCCCGTTCAGGGTGACTAGTTCTGAGGCTTTGTCCAAGTTATTTAATTAACCCTGCAGACCTTCAGGGTCTTTACTGATTGAAATGAGATTATTGGGGAAGATAGTGATAATGTAAAGCACCTGACCCATAATAGCCATTCCCTATTGTCTTTTAAAAAGCAGTTTCATGTAATTTAGAGGTGAAGATTTAAAATTATGTTACAAAAATTATGTTACAAAAATTATAGTGCTAGATGTTTTCAGGTAATATCAGTGCTTCCTGATAAATCTTTTTTTTTTTCCTCAAGTTATTTCATGAGTAGCTAAGATTCTTTTTGCACATCAAGATAAGAAAACTGAGGCTCAGAGAGACACATAATATGCTGGTAAGACTCAGGACGGTTGGCCTATGGACTCTTACTCTACTGAGGTCTAGGTCAAGGATACGTAGGTTGGCAAAGGGTAACTGCACATCCGGTATCTATTCCTGGTTTGTTCCTGATTTAAACACCAAGGTTTTTGGTTTGGTTTTGTTTATTAAACTAGCCCCCAAATAAATAGATGCCAATGTCATTGTGTTGGGAAATTGCTCATTAAGGACCCTGTCCCATACTTCTTAGACTTAAAGATTTCAGACTGAAATCAGAGTCTTTGGGAACGAAGAACAAATGTATAATATCGTTGGTCAGCCTAATGTTTCTTTCTCAATTCTTTGTGAATCTCAGCAAATAATTAGAACAGCTCATGGTTTTATAAACTTCACTTTTTTAAATGGTGTTAATAGGTTGTGTTCTGTATTGGGATTTGGAAGTAATTATAAATTGATAATGGGATGTTCTTTCTTGATTGCTCTTCTCTTAAAAATAGAATAGTCTGTTTAGTAGACTCTTCTTACTTGACCTCAAGTCCCCTTGGAAGGGAGTTATCTATGCTTTTGCTATTCTCTATTGTGACACCTGGCAGAGTAGATAGTTTGTAAATGTTGGCAAGTGATGCATATAGGTCTTTCTTCAGATTATCCAGGGAATTGCCCTTTTCTGGAATCTTACAGATTTTGTTGTTTGTTGTTTGAACTTTTTTCCTGATGTATAACGTATATATGGAAAAGTGTGCAGACGTAAGTATGCAACTCAGGCTGAGTGCAGTGGCTTACATCTGTAATCCCAGCATTTTGGGAGGCTGAGGCAGGAGGATCAGTTGAGTCCAGGAGTTTGAGACCAGCCTGGGCAACATAGTGGGACCCCGTCTCTACAAAAAGAATTTTTTTAATTAGCTGGACATGGTTACATGCTCCTGTAGTCTGGGCTACTCAAGAGCCTCAGGTGGGAGGATCACTTGAACCCAGAAGGTTGGGGCTGCAGTGAGCTGTGATCGCACCACTGTACCCCAGCCTGTACACCCAGCCTGGGCAACACAGTGAGACTCTGTCTCAAAAAATAAAAAAAATTTTTAAAAGTGTACAACTCAATCATCACAAATGGAACACACCCAGATGAGGAAACAGAACATTACCAGCACCCCAGAAATCCTCTCTGTGGTCCTTTCTGGTCACTACCCCTATCAACAAGGGAAACCACTGTCTTGACATCCAGTATCATAAATTAATTTTGCCTGTTTTTGAACTTTACATAAATGGAGTCATACAATATCTACTGTTGTTTCTAGGTGCTTTTATGTAACCTTTTGTATACTATTGGATGTACTTTTAAGCCATTCATTCTCATGGCTAAATAGTATAACTGCAATTTGTGTATCCATTCTAGTATTAGTGAACCTTTGAGTAGTTTCCAGTTCTTTTATAAATAGTGCTATTGTGAGCATTGTTGTGTTTTGGTGAGCACATATTTACATCTCTGTTGGGTACATCTAGGAGGGGAATTGCTGAACCAGAGGGTATGCATATGTTCCGCATTAGTAGATACTGCCAAACTGTTTTCCAAAATGGTTGTATTGGTGTACCCTCCCACCAGCAGTATGTGAGAATTCCATTTGTTCCATATCTTTGCCACATGTGATGTTTCTGTCCATTCCAGTGTGTATGTGGAACCTTGTGTTTTTATAGGCCTTTTCCATATAATTTCCTTCAAAAGAATGAAAAGGTGATATCTTCACATGGACAGACACTTTGTCCACCCTCTTTATAGGAGAATACACAACGTAAAAGGCATAAAAGACAGGTTTTGGTATTCAGCAGGCTTTGGGTCCCCAAGCCTGGGCTTCCTCATTATGAAATAACA